TCCTTTTAGTTGATTGTTCAACATGCTCTCTCGTGATTGAGGAGGAAGATTCCAGCAACTCAGCATGCTCCCCCATGATTGGGGAAGAAGGCTTGGAAGCCACAGTATGCCCTCCTCTGTTTGAAAAAGATCCCAACTCTGAAGCACATCCCCTTGCCACTGAAGTGAACAAACCTGATCCCTCACAATTCCCTCCTGTAATCGAGAAAAAAGGTGTCGATTCTTTCAAATACCCTCCCCTGACTGAAGAAGAAGGCCATGTTGATTACGCTTCTTCTCAAGATGTCGAAGAAGGTGGAACAAGCAAACCTGAAACCAATGCTGATAATCAAGATGCTGCAGAAGTACAGTCTGTAAAGCTGGCAGGAGGTGAAGAACCTAAGACTTGCCAACTTGAGAAAACAGAGGATGAAGAAGACGATATTGGAAAACATGTGGAGGACAAAGGTGATGCTGTAGACCTTTGTGATGAAGAGGTTGGTGTGCAAGAGAGTAATGGTTATCAACTAACGGCCGTGGATACAGACGAAACCGGAAATGAAGTGGACGAGGAGTCATCCGAGGCAACTCCTCTTGTGCAGGACTGAGGCATGATACCAGAATTGCTGAATCTCCAATGTTGTAGTCGTATATTACTCAGTAATAGCTTGTGAACTAGAGTTTGAGAACCTAGGGTTACCTTTTTGTAGCTCTTTATTATTAAGATGTAGTGTTCATCTTACAATTATAATGCTTTGTTAGTAATGATAATCATTTTTATAGTTTGTAAATGGAGGGTAGGTGGAAGTTTCCTTGAAAGAAAACTTGCTTATTTACTTCACTTTAACACTTTTTAGTCTAGCGTTTATTCACTTGTTGCACCCGCGGGTGCTTTTTCTGTTATCGACTGTAGAGTGATAGAGACAAAAAGATACCAAAAACAAGGCATCGCTGTTTAGATAATTTTTATGACTGACTAACTCAGACATGTTCAATGAAGTAGTCAGTGTTTTCTAAGTATAAGTAATATTTCCTAGTTTTTGTAAGTGCAATGTACAGACGAAAAATGCGATTGGTTTGTTCGTCTCAATGCAAAGTTATTGTTGATAACTCAAAGTCACCGTTATGGACGACAAATAAATAGATGTTGATATCCCTTAAGCCACCATCAATATTGACCCTACTAAAAATAATTAACTTGTTGTAAAACACTCTGTAGATGCTTCAATAAACTTATGTAAGCTAAACCCGTTTTGTTTACTCCAGCCATTGCTACAAAATTGCCAGTTCGGAGTAGAAAACTTTCAGGGAGAGGAAGGCAAACACGAAGAGAAGTCTTAAAGAAAAAATGAGACAAAAGTAGGAGAATATTAATGTGAGCAAATCTAATTGTAGATTTGAAGGAAACCATAAACTAAGATGACATTTAGTATCAAAGGGTAAGAATTAAGAAAATCCAGTTGCGCCGTCCTCGTTCTGATTTGTGTATTTCTCTTTCCCAGCCTATCCTCGCTTTGCAAGCAGACTTAGCATATTTCCAAAGCAATATTAACCCACTAATTTTTATATCACTTTTTTTTATACACAGCAAGTGACTGAACGCTCTTTGCCAATCGAGCTGGAGCTGTCTATTCCATTGCCTTGATTAGATGGGTGGTATATTAAGCTGATTAGTCTTTAATGTTGTTAGTTGACATAACCACTTTTTATCATTGTCTGACCCCATTATGATGATTCATTCTGCGGAAGTTGGCCTAAGGGAGATATTCCAAGTACCAAGGAAGCTTTTCTTTCTGATTTCATCTCTGCAGTCTCAGACCTCTCTACGTTTCGGGAGCAAGCGTTTGAATGTTCTCAATACTAACCGTGCCTTTCTGGTAGATTTAATCGAACCGTGGATCAGGTGTTCGAGAAGTGCACTCTTGCCAACATGCCCATAGATTCTCATTCAAATATTTTTAATTTTCTTTTTCTTTTTACTTTTTTTTTCCCACGATCACTTTCATATTATTAAGTTGTTAATGCCCCATGTTCTACTTCTACTTTCATTGTAAACAATACCATGCTCTGATTCTTTAACCTTTTTTTCGAGACAGCTCAAGGCGGTTATTTTCTTATCAACCTTCGTTGTGTCTCGTGACATGTCTTTGACAAAATAAACGACGGCCTTTAAATGAGAAACTGATGGATAACAAAGTCGTGCGTGTCTTTCATCAGGCGAAAAGAGAGGATTCGTGAAAGGAGAGGCGCTGCGCTTCCCAAGAATGAATTCGTCACCCTCCACGTTCAATAAATACTCACAGTGTTTCAAAATACGAATAAAGCTCAGAGGATATCAAGATGAAATTTAGGAGAAATGTATCTTTGAATTTGATCTCACTGGGAGTGAAAGGTCTCTCAAGAACTCATATGGGATTAGGCTAGGCCTACTCTGAGACCTTAAGTCGCCGTAACCGTTTGGGCTATTTAAGGTGAGTTAAGGCGACTTAAGTAAAATTGGCAGAAAAAACATTGCGACTTTAGGCGACTTAAGGCAAATTAATGCCACTTAAAATGATTTTATTTGACTGAAGTGATAAAATCAAAGTTAACAAAAGTCTCTCCATAAACCTTAAAAATATTTACAGAATCCCTTACAATAAACACCACAGTCATTTTGGTTACTTTTGTATGCTGTTAAGTCACCATAGTCTAAAATATCCAGATTTCAAACCAATTTAGCTAAAAATAATTAGACAAGATTACCAGAACAGTTATCGTCAAATTATACAGTCAAAGCTAGTGAATAACTAGCTAGGAAACCAATTTAGCTTAAAATATTTATATAGAATTACCACAACAGTTATTGTTAAATTATACACTAAAGGCTAGTGAACAAATAGCCAGGAAACCAATTTAGCTTAAAATGTTTAGACAGAATTACCACAACAGTTATTGTTAAATTATACAGTCAAAGCTTTTCCATTAGATTTGTCGTGATGTGACGATGATGTTACATGGCCAATTCCCCAGTTTCCTGTGAAATTCTTGAATTCTCTTGAGAGGCATTGTGAGCCGGAGTCATTCACCATCTGTAT